AAGGCCAGGGGCATGGAGACCGTAGGGTGCAGGGAACAGCACAGGGGTACAGGGAGCAGCGGGGGCTGCAGGGAGCAGCAGGGGTGCACGGCCAGGCGGGCGGAGGGGGTGGGGAGCAGAGTGAGTGAGCCTGGGCAGCCTCAGCAGAGCGAAGCGCTGGGAGGAAGTGACATCAATTCTGAACTATTCGCTGAACACCCTACTCTGTGTGCCTGGAGCTGGGACACAGCAGGGCTCCAGGGCAACAGAAACCACAACAACAAACAGCAGAGCTATAACTCGGGGGGGGGGGGGGCACGGTCAGGAAGCACAGCTCCGGGCCAGGGCAGGCGACCCCGGGCGCCCTGGCCTGAGACCGAGCGTGTCCTGAGGAGGCGGTGTGTGACCGGAGGCCTGCAGGCGGGAAGGCCCCGGGCAGAGACCTGGGGAGAGGAAGCTCCAGGTCAGAGGCACGACAGGTGCAAAGGCCTTGGGGCGGGGACGGGCTGGCCGAGGGGCCGATCCAGGAAGATCTAAGCCCACTGCGGGGAGGGGAGGGGAGGGGAGGCGTCGGGGGCATCCCTGGTGGGGAGCGGGGCACGGGGACAGGCTGTCCTGTAACTGGAGCCCAGCAGGAAACTGTCCCCCGTCTGCCCTCGGCACAGCCTGCTCAGGACAGAATGTGCCGGGAGGCCAGGCCAGCGGTGGCTGCGTCTGGTGGCTGGAGCCGGTGGCGGGAGATTCCTGAACAGCAGCCCTGCCGGGCCCCCTGCCAGCAAGGGCGGGGGGGGGGGGCGGGGGGGGCGGGGAGGGTTCGTGGAAAACAAGCTGTGGAAGCTCTGCCTGCCTCCCGTCCTGGGCCCTGGGCCCTGGGCCTTGCCCGGCCACGGCAGGGGACAGAGATGGCGCAAGGGTCAGAGACTGACAGAGACAGAGAGATGGTGACCGTGAAAGAGATGGCGAGCTGGAGACAGAGACAGAGGGAGACAGAGAGACAGAGATGGTGAAGGACAGGAGTAGAGGGACACAGACAAGAGAGACAGAGAGATGACGACCAAGAGAGATGGTGAGCCAGAGCCAGAGCCAGGGAGAGATAGCGAGACAGTAGTGAGAGCCAGAGACAGACTGTGGATGGGTGCCAGGTCTGATGTGGGGGTCCTGGGAACCAGTGCAGGGCAGTGACACCCCGGCCTCCACCTCTGTTTACTCCAGAGCAGGGAAGGAGTTCCCTCCGGTCTCTCAGTCAGCAGTGCCTGCGTGCCCTGGAGTCAGGGACACCGATTGAACCCAGCCCCGCCCTCCAAGGTCCAGACAAATAGGAATTTCAGAGCGCGATGAGGGCTCTGAAGACAAGGAGAGGGAATGGGGGGGCTGTGCGGTGACCTCAGCCAAGAGGGCGGCATGCCCCGGAAAGTGAGGCTGGGAATAGAGAGGAGGCAGCCGCAGGGAAGCGTCTGCAGCAGAAGCCACCTGTGCAAAGGCCCTGCGGTGGGGACCAGCTCCGGGCCAGGGATAACAGCCAGGGATGGACAGGAGCTGGGAGGAGGGACGGGCGGGAGGTCCTAGAAGCCTGGGGAGGGTGGGGTTTTATTTTAGGAGATTTGGTCACTCTCCTCTGTGCCTGAGGGCCGCTCCCTGTGTTCAGGGAGTTCCCGGGATTCTGGACGGGCGAGCCAGCTGCATCCTGCTTCTCAGTGAAGCAGAAAATCCAGCTCCTCTGAGATCAGGTTCCCCAGCTGCAGAGGCAGGACTCCTGGGGACCCGGGCGGCTTGTCCTCCTAAGCCCGCGGAGAGACTTTTTTAGAACGGCACCCACATCCGCTGTCGCAACCAACACCTGGGAACCGGGATCTCGCGTCACGCGCTCCGGGGCTGCGGGGAACTCCTCCGTAGAGGCTGGCCCTGCGGGGCCTGGGTGCCCGTGCTGTGGAACGATCTGCCCAGTCCCCGTCTCAGGGACGTTCAGGTCTGGCACACTCTGAGCTGGTGCCTGGCCCGCTGCCCCGAGGGGAGCGCTGGGGGGACCCCAGGGGCAGGAGCAGCTGGAAATCACAGCCCGAACTCAGATCGAGGGAGGAGACGATGGAGGCTGGGGAAGGGAGGGGTTCCGGGGTTTCAGATGGAGAAACTGAGGCTCAGAAGCAAGTGCCCTGATCATGGTCCATAGCAAAGGTTCACCCACATCTCCCGCTGTTGTCCCTAGATTTCTACCCCCCAACCCACCCCCCACCCTCATCCCGAGAACCCATCCCAGCCCCCCAGCCCCACCCATGGCCATCCTGAGTGGCCAGTTAATTGTCACGGCCTCGGGCCCTCAGGCTGGCGGGTGGACAGTCTGGGGTCAGACCAGGGCTTTCGCTGGGCCTTGCCCCAAGGGGCGGGACTTCAGAACCTGAGGCAGAGCCTGAGCTGCTGGCTCTGCGGGAGCCGCAAGTGGGGTGCGGCCTCCTGAGCTCCAGGGGCCGTTTTGAGCGGCGGTTCCATCCGTCCCCACAGTGGGACCCTGGGCAAGTCACCTCCCTCCCTTGGACTCACTGTCCCCCTGCAGCCCAGGACACCTCCCACCGCTGGGCTGCCTGTTACCCTGGGAGTGTCCAGACAAAGCTGTGCACATTGGTCCACAGGAGCCCCAGTCCAGGGGTCGGCAGCCTGCGGCTCACGCGCCACATGCAGCTTGCGAGCCGTGGTTTGCCGCTCTGTTGACTGATGAGTTTGCCGACCACTGCCCTCGTCACAAGCGCCAAAACGTGGAAACGACTCAAATGTCCATCACCTGGTGAACGGACGGACAGGATGCAGCCCATGCACAGTGGAGGAGGATTGCTCGGCCACAAAAAGGGGTGCAGCCATGACACACCACAATGTGGGTGAAGCTCACACACATGCTGAGTGAGCGAGGCCAGACACAGGCCACAGAGTGTGTGATCCCATTGATAGAAAATGTCCAGGGCAGGCAGACCTATCCAGACAGAAAGGGGGTCAGTGGCTGCCAGCGGGTGGGAGAGGCGATGGGGAGTGACTGCTAAGGGGGGCGGGGCCTCAACGTGGGGTGGTGAAGTGCTCTGGCACAGACAGAGATGACGGCTGCACAATACTGTGAATGTGCTAAACGCTACGGAACTGTTTACTTTAAAATGGCTCCTTTTATGTCCTCGTTGGTTTGGCTCAGTGGCGTGAAGGGTCCCACATTCAATTCCGGTCAGGGGCACACGCCCGGGTTGCGGGCTTGATCCCCAGTTGGGGGGCGTGCAGGAGGCAGCTGGTCCATGATTCTCTCTCATCGTTGATGTTTCTATCTCTCTCTCCTTCTCCCATCCTTTCTTATTTTTTTATATAATAAAAAAATATATAAAATGGTTCATTTTATGATATGGGAATGGACTCTCAAAAAAAGAGAGCCGAAACCGGTTTGGCTCAGTGGATTGAGCATCGGCCTGTGAACTGAAAGGTCCCAGGTTCGATTCCGGGCAAGGGCATGTACCTTGGTTGCGGGCATATCCCCAGTGGGGGGGGGTGCAAGAGGCAGCTGATCGATGTTTCTCTATCATCGATGTTCTAACTCCTCTCTCTCTCTCACTTCCTCTCTGTAAAAAAATCATTAAAATATATATATAAAAAAAGAAAAAAGAAAAAAGAAAGAAAAAAAGCCCGGACTCAGATAGTCAGGGCCTCCAGAAACCCGGAACCCTATCCAGCCCACCTGTTCCTCTCCATTTGCGGAGAACAGAAGCTTTCTGTCCTTCACTGTTCACGTGACCAGCACCTGTGACTGCACCAGGGGAGAGGTGAGGGCTGTGGGGGTCTGGCTCCAACCCGAGCCCAGCCTCCCTGTGTGTCCCTGGGCCTCAGTTTCCCCTTCTGGACGACGGGCCACTCCACCCTCTTCGGCCTAGAATCTCATCAGGACGGTCGTCAAGGCTACCCCAGCTCCCTTAGCAGCTGGGGGAAGAGAAACCAACAAGCCTAGTCTCTTCCTCCACACTTTTATTTAAAAAAAATAATTGTACAAAAGAGAACAAGTTAAGGCTTAGGAATGCTGAGACCCAGGCGGGGACTCTGCCCCCAGCCAGGGCCAGGGGGGCCTATCCAGCCACTCCCTCCTGCTTTGTCCCTCTGGACACGGGTCTCCAGAAGCACACTGGCCCGCTGTGTCACCCCAGGCTGCCCTCTGTCCCGGGACCTGGGTGAATGCTCTGCTGTCATTATCATGAAATTCTTAATATTCCCTGGAGAAGGCCCCCACATTTTCATGAGCAAGTTATGTGGCAGGTCCTGTCTGTCCCGCTCGGAGCCTGGGTCTCCCGGCCCCCCAGCTCTGTGTCTGAGAAGCCCTCGGGTGGTCTCAGCCTGGGGCACAATCTCCAGCTTTCAGAGGCTTCAAAGGCTGGAGCCCTGCCCCTGCCGACCACAGGTCCCCGTAGCTCCCAGGACCTGCTTCCCTGAGTGACTCACCCCTGGGCCCTCGCGCCTGCTGGACCTTGCAGTGTGACCTCAGCGGAAGCACCTGCCCTCCGAGCCCCGGTTCCAAGCTTCCCTGAGCTCTCGCCTTGTCTGACTTCTCCCCTCTCTTGCTTGCCTGTCTCCTGAGCTTATTCGTAATGCCAAAGCTTCGGCTAAAACGCCCTTTCCTCCAGGAAGCCTTCCCGGATTTCTCCCCGGGCTCTCTCAGGCCTTCCTCTGGTCCCACCGGACTGGAAGTATCTGTGCCCGGCTGTGTCTCTCCGAGACGGGAGGCTCCTGGGGAACCCGGCCCGGTCCACGGGCCAGCACAGACAGCTCGAACAGTCACTCGGATCCTGCAACAGCCGTTTGATGCTTTTACAAGGACCAGCTCAGTCAGATGCCAGAGACTGGCTCTTTCTCTGTCCCATGGGAACAGCCTTGCCTCCGTTCTGAGACTTGATTTCCCCAACTTCCACCGCAGGCAGGCATGTCTCTCCCGGCCCAGCCACGCCCCATGTCCACGGAGGCTGGAAGCGCGTGTGCAACCCCATCCCTGAGGTATCCGCGTCCTCTCACACTCAGCAGGTCATGCTGCGTGGCCTCATGGCTTCGGAGGGGGGGTTCGGGTCCTCCTGAGGGAGACAAACCCATCAGGCCTCAGGGGGGCACCAGAGGCCCAGGAACACCCCTCAGGCCCTGCATGTCTGCACATAAAGGAGTTTCAACACTTAAAGCTCCTGAGTCTCCCACCTCCCTCCCGGCTCCCAGGGCCCGGAGAGGCACGGGGGCTGCTGGGACCCCCAGGCTCACCTCGGAGTACAGGGGTGGCGGGCGGTAGCGGAACTCCTGAATGTAGGCGAAGAAGGGGCCCTCGAGGCTCAGGTCGGCGTCCTGAGGCAGAGGGACGGGGCTCTGCCCCCCGGCTGCCGCGTCACCGGCCACCACCTCTGAATAGTCTGGCGGGGCTGGAATGAGAGCCAGGGGGTGAGGGTGAGGGTGAGGGGGGTGGTAGGCGGGAGCCCTGGCATTGGGGACCAGGGGCCAGGAGTTCTGGGCTGCTGGGCTGCGTGTCCTCAGCCTGAGATCTCGGGGGACCCATGGTGGTCAGTGTGATCACTACCGGGTGCTACTACAGACATTGTGTGAGGGGGGGGCATGTTGGCCTGGCACCTCCACCCGTCCCCTGGGGACACAGGATGGGCACTCACCCTCAGGCCGCTCTGGCATGGCGCCCAGTCCCCAGTCCAGCAGGAAGCTGGCATGGCTGCCCACGCTGGACGAGCGGCCGCCGAAAGGGTGCAGGGGGACCGTGCCGATGACCAGCGGCAGCTCCAGGAGCAGCTTGGAGGTGCCCGGGATGTCCACGCAGACCTGGAGGGAGGAGCCACCATGGAGGGTGCCCGGGCAGCCTCCTCGCACCCGCCTTCTCCAGAAGGAGGCCCTTCCTGTCCTCAGAGGCCCCAGCGCAGCCTTGGGGAACCCTCCCTGGGGACAGAGCAGATGCAACCCCCCAGGCTCGCCCAGCCTCCTACGATACTCCACCTTGAGGGCGTAGTCCACGTGCAGCACCCGGCAGTGCAGGATGGAAGGGCCCACCGGGGGGATGCGGAGCGCCCGGCCCTGCCACAGCGCCCGCCGCCCCGGGCCCACGGGCTCGCCCGAGAGGCTGGCCACCACGGCGTGCTTCTGCTTGCGGGCGCCGCGCGCCATGAAGGTCTGCGTCTGGACCACGACCGCCCGCGGCAGCACGGGGCGCGTGGAGCTGTTGTCGATCTCGGCGTACACGGGGATCACCTCCCCTGTAACGGGACGCGGCGGGGCCTCAGTCTCCCCCACTGCAGCCCCGGCGCCGGCCCTCCTCCCGCCGGGGCCCTCCCCCGGCTACCTGGGGTGTAGCCCTTGCGGTCGATCTTGGCCGAGAGGGAGACGAGGCCGCGGTTACTGTACCAGGACCGGGCGACCTTCTCCCGGGCTCCGGCTTGAGGGGCCTTACGGGGTGGAAGGAAAAGGCACAAACGGGTCACTTGTGCGGGGCTTCCAGACCGTCCCCCAGCTGGGGGAAGACCTGAGTTCGGGGCCCAGGGTCCCGGTCTCTCGTTCACAATCTGGGAAGTATCTGTATGATGCATCTAGGAATATGACCCATCTCATTAAGCTCAAATTGGAGTGAGCAAGCAGGTATGTAATTAGTGCTCAGCAGGCCATTATTACTCTGTGCCCCAGCGGTGCCCTACTTAACAGCCTGGGCATCGGGCAGGCATCGGAGGCTCAGAGAGGGTGAGACAATTGCTCGGAGCCACAAAGCAGATTGAGGGTGAGACAATTGCTCGGAGCCACAAAGCAGATTGGTGCTGCTGGGGTTTGCACCAGGCCTCACCGCTGACTCAACAACAGCCCTTCCCTCACCTGCCTCCCTCCCAGCCAGGGCCCAGCGGTGACCCCACTTTGTGACCATTCGTGAAGGGGGAGAGGAGCCAGTTGGGGTCCCCCTTCCCCCTCCCAGCAGCCAGGCCCCTGGGCTACCATCCCACCTCCCCAAGGGCAGCCAGCCACACACCAGCAGGGTGGGGGTGTTGATGTCCACGGGTTCGATAACAGTAAACACCTTCCTGGCCCGGCGGGCGGGCACCCAGGGCCGGTGCAGGGTGGCCTTGATGCAGTAACGGACGCTGCCGTGTTTGCCCTCGAATGAGGTCACCAGCGTCCTGGGGTGGAAGGAAGGGGCTTCAGGGGGATGGAGGGCACACAGAGACCAGGAGGTTGGGGATCCCCAAGGACTTAGGCTTGAGAAGACACAGAGACACTCCTGAGGGTCTTCCGGTGGAGATAGTCTTGGGGCTCATAGGTCCCCAGATAGGAAGCAGTGGAGCCCCAAGCCTGGGGCGGGGGGGGCGGGCACTCCCCCACAATCCAGCACCCAGATGACTTACGGAGGCAGCTGGAAGCTGAATGGGAACTCGTGGCGCCCGGCAGGCAGCGTGGTGGTCTCTCCAGTATCTGCAGGTAGGAGCGAGAGGGGGCGGCTCTGTGGCCGAGGGGTCCGCGGGGCGCGCAGCACCTGCGCCACGCGGGGGTCCCTCGCGGTACCTGGCCCGAGGAGCGTGGCGCAGTGGCTCAGGACCTCCAGGCGCTCGCTGTAGCTCTGCGTGTACGCGGTGCTGGAGCCCGAGCTGCGCGACTCGCTCCAGTGCACGTGGGCGCGGCCCCGCGCGCGCAGCCTCAGGGCGCCCACGCGCGCCGGGCCCGCCAGCTCCAGCAGCACCCGGCCGGCCACCGCCTGGCCGCCGCGGAACACGGGGTCGGCGCCCGCGCCCGCGCCGTCCAGCAGCACCGCGAAGGCCTTCACCTTGTCGAACAGCATCGCGCCGGGGAGGCAAACCCCTAGGCGCGCGGACCCGAGCCTCGAACCCCTGACACGAAGGCGCGAGGTGCGGAGGCCTCGGCGTCAGGACGCGAACCCACCCGGGGAGCTAAACCAGAGGTTCTTCCTCTTATACGGCGGGGCGGGGCGGGGCGGGGCCAGGCGGGACACAGGCCCCGCCCCGGAATGGGGATTCGCCAATAGCGCGGCGGGGGCGTGGCTTCAATGACGCGGCGAGGGGGGTGGCTCCGCCCAGGCGTGGAGCAAAATAACAAACTCCCAGGCTCGCGGTGGGCTAGCCCTCCACCCCCGTGCACCCTGCGTGGAACGGAAGCCCTGGAGACCAGATTCGGTCTCTCGCGGGTCCCGGGGGTAAAAAAAAAAAAAAAAAGGGGGAAACTGAGGCCCGGAAGCGGGGCCTGGGCCTGAGGTCACTCAGAAAAACCATTCATTCGGTGCTTTGGCTTAATCATCAACCCGCCATTGTTTGTTTGCAGACAGGACCCGGACATGTCCCGCCCGAGCTGGAGGGGTGTGGACTGGCCGGGCCCCAATCGGGATGCTGGGAGCCTAGGTCAGCCGGGCCTCAGTTTCCTCCTCTGTGCAATGGGGAAGGAGGAAGAAGTCGGTGGGGCCCCCCTTTCCCACGGGTACCTGCTGCCCCCTCCTCTGACTCAAACCCCGTTCAGCTGGGTAACCCCGGACTGGGGACAACCTCTAGGAGCTGCGTTCCCACGTGCAGCGTCGGGAGGAAAGAAGCCCCATCGCGGAGGCTGTGCATGAACCTCAGTGTTGCCCCCACTGAACCCTCCCCACAGCCTTGTTCCCGGGTCACCAACCGCCGCCACTCGCCGCTCGATTGCACCAAAGCACTTAAGCACCCGACATTTCTTTTCCAAATTCCAGCCCCGGACAAATGCCTTCTAGACTTTGGACACCTCCAGCCTGGTCCCCTCACAGACAGAGCCGAGTGCAGGGGGAGCTCCAGGCAACCCGGGGCCAGGGCCGCGCTGTGACCTCGGGGCGGGGATGATTCCTCTCTGGGTCTCGGTTTCGCGAGAGAAGAAGCACACGTAGGAGTTTTTAAGCCACAAGTGGCCTCCTCGCGACCTACGGGGGACCTGCGCCCTCTCCTGGCAGCGCGATGCACTGCCGCTCGAAGCCATGCCAACCTCGGCCACCTCTTTGAGTCTGGCTCAGGCCACGCAGGCACCTTTGCACCCTCCCCCCCGAGACCTCCGCACCCCCAGTGGGAGACGGGCATAACCAGACAGGGTCAGCCCGTGACAGTGGTCAGAGCAGGCCCAAAGGGGCGGGAAGGGGAGAGACACAGAGGCTGTCCCCTCAGTGGTCGGTCTGGAGGAGGCTCTGGGGCTGAAACAAGGGGTTGGAACCTTCTGTCTCTGCCCAGTGGAGCCCAGAGAGGACCGGAGACCATAAGCCAGGAAGAGGTGACAATGGCAGGACCGGAAGGCTCGTGGTGAGCAAGCACTTCCCTCATCCATTTTATAGATGGGACATTCACCGACCGCCCCCGGGACGGGCAGGGTCAGACGGCAGAGGAGAAAAGGGTCACCTTTCCAGGGTCGAAGAAGCCACCGGGGAGTGGGACCAGGGGGGGCTGTTGGGTGAGAGCAGCCCCAGTTTTGCTTGAGCTGCAGGAGAAGGGAAGTTCCTCTGGGACCCCTTCCTGCCACACCCCATGCCAACAGCCTGGGTTTCCTCAGCTGGTCAGGCCCGAGTCCCCCAAACCTGGGGGCTGTTGGACCAGGCCGCAGAGCCAGGTCTGAGCTGCCTCCTGCCGTGCATATGTCACAGGTGGGCATAAGGGGGGGATGGAAGGGTCACCCAGAGAGGCCCCGGCCCTCCGAAGCCCTCTCCGCGGCTCCTGTTCTGCTCCTGACCGGCCATTTGGCCAGAGAGTGGGGGACTGAGATTTGCCAGGGTAAGACTCCCCGCCTAATCTGACCTCACCCCAAGTCTCCTTCCCCTCCCCTGCAGAGGCCACCAGAACACCAATCCAGGGAAGAATCGCCCCAGCAAACACTGTGGGCCAGACTGCGGGAGGGGCACTGGCTGAGCGACACAGGCCTTCGCTGGGGATCGGGGATCCCAGGCTTGGGGCTAACAGGGATCCTGGGGTCCAGAGAGAAGGATCTCCTTGCCCCACCCAGGTATTCCCCCAGACCAGTGGTCGGCAAAGCACGGCTCATGAGCCACATGCGGCTCTCTGGCCCCTCGAGTGTGGCTCGTCCACAAAATTCCACGGCCCGGGCGAGTCTATTCTGAAGAAGTGGCGTTAGAAGATGTTTACGTTTAAAAAAATCTGGCTCTCCAAAGGAACTTCAATCGTTGTACTGTTCATATTTGTCTCTGCTGACTGATGAGTTTGCCGACCACTGCCCCAGACAGAAGGTCCCCACCACACACTCCACACAGCCTCTGAATCGAGGGAGTTGCCCCAGGCAGTTTGGCTCAGTGGATAGAGCGTTGGGCTGTGGACTGAAAGGTCCCGGGTTCAATTCAGGCCAAGGGCACATGCCTGGGTTGTGGCCTCGATCCCCAGTAGGGGGCGTGCAGAAGACAGCCGGTCAATGATTCTCTCCCATCGTTGAGGTTTCTCTCTCTTTCTCCCTCTCATATATATATATTTTTTTAACAAAAAAATAAAATAAATAGATCGAGGGCGCCCGCGCTCTGGAAGGTGGGCGCCCAGACACTGGGGAGGGGGAACAGGACCCAGCAGAGAGGGTTTTGGAGGGGGTCAGCGAGGGGATGTCCGGGAGGGAGAGCTGAGACATCGGGGAGAGGGTGCCGAGGGGATCCCGGCCCCGGAGTCGGGAGGGTGCGCGGCTCACCTCGGAGCAGCAGCTGCCGCCGCCGCAGGTACGTCTCGACGGCCGTGAAGTCGCTGGACACCGCGTTGATGCCCACGCTGCGGCCCTGGAGCCAGTGCGTGGTCGCCCCGCCGCGCGCCGCCACCTCGAGCGCCCGCACGCGCAGCGGCGCCGCCGCCTCCAGCAGCACCCGGCCGCGCAGCAGCTCCCCGCCGCGGTACGCGCCGCCGCGCGCCAGCTCCAGCGCGAAGCTGCGGACGCCGCCGCCGGGCCGCATGGCGGGGCCGGGGGGTGGCACCGCGGGCCGCGCCTGGCGAGGGGCACGGCCGGGGCGCGCGGCCTGGGCGCGCCGGGGGCTTCCGGGTCCCGGGCTGGTCCTGCCGCCGGGGCGCCGCGCGCTCTCTCCCGCCTCTGCCAACTGGTGCAGGCGCCCTGGGCCCCGGGCTGACTTCCTGGTTCTCCTCGCCCGCCCCCGTGACGCACCGGGCCCGCCGGGGACGTGCCGCCCGTGTGCCCGCGTGATTGACTTCGCCCCCCCCCCCCGCCCCGCCGCCCCCGGCGTGGGGCGGGCCCGGTGTTTGTAGGGTCGGCGCTGATGAGTCAGAGGCGGGCGGGCGGAGCGGGTGTGGCTGGATGTCTGGAGGCAGCCCCGGGCTGTGCCCTGTGGTCTCTCTCGCGTCCCCGACCTGGCACCTTCGGCCCTGGGTGCTGCCCCAGCCCCCTGTCGCCTCTTCCCGCCCTGTCACCTGCTGGTTGTGCCCCAAACACACCAAGCTCGGGTCTGGCCTCTTGGCCTTTGCACTGGCTGTTCCGTTGCTAAGGAACGCCCTGCCCGGATCCACCTCCCAGGCCCCTAGTCATGCCCTGGCCTTGTTTACGTCTTTATGGCTCTGACCTCTGTGACTGCCGTGTGTTTACTGTGGCTCCTCCATCAGGCTGGCGGCACCCAAGGGTGGGCACCCTTTCTCATCACTGGATTTCACAGATAGGGAAACAGAGGCCCCTAGAGGGGCAGCCGCTGCCAGAGGTATCCAGGGATGGCAGAGTCACAACTCGAACCCAGGTCTGACAGCAGCCCGCTGGCACCTCTCTATTCCCTTCTCTCTTGCACCCCACCTGTCTCCACCAGCCAGTGCCAATGGCTTTATCGGAGGCTGCCAGGGTCTGGGCTGTCTGCTGGGCCCAGATTAGCCTCTGCAGGGGCCAGGTTTCCCTCTCCACCCCCATCGGGCCCAGCATCTATCTGCCTGGTACCTGCTGCCCCCAACACCCTGAGCCCGAGGCCTGGAGGGATCTGATTCTACTTGTGCCCAGAACCTTCCCTTCTGGCCCACCCTAAATGGGCCACTTGAACCCCACAATTGCACCACACCTTCCCCAGCTCACACCAGCCCCCCCCCCCCCATGAAGTGTCCTCCCCGAGTTTTGGGTTCTTCATGGTGGCCAGTGGATCCCCAAGTTTGAGTCCTGGCTCACCACCCCTCACGCTGTAGCCCCAGGCAGGTGGGTTCGCTTCTCTGAGTCTCAGTTTCCCTATCCCACCCTGGCCAGGTTCCGGTAGAGTCGGTGGGATCATTTACCTCACGTTCCCTGAAAACAGCAGGTGCTCAGTACATGTCCAGTAAAGACTGAATAGCCCCCTGCACCCGTGTCCACTCCCTTGTTGGACTGTGCTTCCTTGGCACCTGGTCCATAGTGGAAGCCAGCTGGTCAAAGGGAAGGATGTCTGACTACCCAGGGCCCCCTGCGGGGGCTGGGCCACACCCCCTGCAGGTCCCGCCATCAGTGCCGGCAGGGCTGGTGCAGATGTCCTCAGGCTCCAGCTCAGGAGACTGCCAGGCTAGGGAGATGATGGAGCTTGACTCACCTTAACCCCCGTATCCATTCTGGGGACCCAGGCCAGGTGTCCACCTCCCATATTGTGACTATGAGTGTCCCCCAACTACGCACAACACGCAGCAGCTGGCTGGGTCCTGCTTTATTAAGAACCGGCAAGGACCCCTCTCCCTGCTGCTCTGAGCCCACCGGGGGCCTGGGGAGAGTTAGGGGCCAGGGAACCGGAGGACGCCCTGGGCTCCCTAAGCTCCAATCAGGGAGAAAGCAGGCAGCAGCCACCCCTGTCCGGACAGTCTGGGTGGGACGGGCCCCTGGCCACTCAGCCCAATCAGCTCTGGCTCCTGTTCTCCAAGAGGCACAATGAGACCGGCCTGCCTGGATGGTGTGGAGGTGGCGGCCACACAATGGCCAAGATTGTGGGGTCCGGTGGTGGGCAGGGCCATCACCCGCAGTCTGAGGGGGCCACGGGTGGCCACCGGCATGGGGAGCTCTGGGCTGCCTGGTCTGGGGCGCCAGGCTGGGGAGGTAAGGGCGGGGGAAGTGGGTGTATGGCTTGGGTGATGAGGCCAGGCAAGGCCTGCAGGGAGGTGCCCAGCGCATCCAGGCGGCTTTCCAGGGCAGCCAGGCGGGCCTCCAGGTCCTCGTGCTGGGCGTGCAGCTCGGACATGAGGTCGTACATGGCATTCTGGGTCTGCGAGCGACAGAGGTGGGAGAGAAGAGGCTGAGTGAGACAGACACACACACGCACACACACACAGATACCTGCAACTGTGAGGACACCCCCCAGCCCTGCAGGTGTTCTGCTGGATCCCAAGAAATGGTGGGAGAACAGATGAGGGACAGACAAGTTAAATGACAGCTGGGCCAGAAGGCCTGGGAAAGGCCAAGGGCTGCACTGGGGAGGGGTGGATGTGACCAGAGCCGCCCTGAGGATTGAACTGGCCACCTAGCACATACAGTAGACTAGGGATTGGACAGGGGTCTGGAGGGAGGTGAGGATCTGACCCAATCACAGACCCAGGAACACGACTGCCATAATCGCTGTTATGATAGGCGACAGGTGTCCCCACCACCTTTAGGACTCCCCACAGGGCAGCCAGGTCGGGCCAGTTCTACTGGTCAGGGTCCACTCTGGCCACCAGGTGGCGCCAGAACACAGCCCTGCGTCTCTAACCCCAGCTCTCAGAGACCAGACCTGCAGGCAAGACCCGGAGTTTGCCGCCCCTCCTGGGCTTTGGAGGGGAGCCTGCAGGGGCGGGTCCGGCTGAGGGGGGCAAACACTCCAACCCCTCGCTCCGCGGGAGAGAAATAGGATGAGGCGCCGATTACATACCTGCAGACTCTCCCAGCCTCTCCACACCTCTGCCCTCCACCCTTTCTTGGGTTCCCAGTAGGCTGACCCCACGGCGGGTAGGGGAGGGGGAAGGGGGAGGACAAACACCTCGGAGCCCTCCTAGGGCCACTGACCTTCACCCCAGCCTGCCTCAGGAACCACAGTCCCCAGGGTCAGAGGGTAAGATCTGGAGGCATCCAACACTGGGGTGGTTCCTTTTGGCCCTCTCTGAGATTTAAAAAAAATTGTTTTAAACGTAGGATATACAGGGTGTCCCCCAAAATGTATACACACTTTGAATAACGAATTCCAATGGGTTAAATCTGAAAAGAAAGAAACATCATTGAGCTATTGGCTGTAAAGTGTGGGACACCCTCTATATTTTATTTTTGCCAGAGAAATACAAATTAAATTAGCAACCTTGGAAAGGAAAGCAGAAAAATTTGATTGGAAATCATTTTAACCTTGTTTAATTAAAAAAATTAGAAACCCATATAATCCAATCTAATTAAAGATTGAATCCAAAGAAGCTTTTGTAAAATGTATTTTGAGAGTGTATCACCATGATTACAAGGTTTAAAATTTTAAAAATTCAAATTTCAATCCTTTGTGCTAAAGAAGTGTAATATGGACCATTCAAATTATAATTCCTAGTATTTGAGTTTTTCCAAGGTATTTTATATTTATAGCTATAATTTCATATGACATCAAATTAATTGGCCAATGATTTTTACATTCTCTTAGGGTTATGCTCTAGTCTACTACCAATTGAATTATTTATTTTTAAAACATGTTTTTATTGGCTTCAGAGAGGAAGGGAGAGGGAGAGATAGAAGCATCAATGATGAGAATGATCGATCTGCTGCCTTCTGAGCGCCCCCTGCTGGGGATCAAGCTTGCAGCCAGTCATGTGCCTGATGCTCAACCACTCACTGAACCACACCAGCCGGGCTGAATTATTTCTCAGGGTTCTAGAATGTATTTTCCTCTGTAATGTTCCCTTCCAAATTAATTTTTTAAAAATATATTTTATTGATTTTTTACAGAGAGGAAGGGAGAGAGATAGTAAGTTAGAAACATCGATGAGAGAGAGTCATCGATCAGCTGCCTCTTGCACACCCCCTACTGGGGATGTGCCCGCAACCAAGGTACATGCCCTTGACCAGAATCGAACCCGGGACCCTTCAGTCCCCAAACCAATGCTCTATCCACTGAGCCAAACCGGTTTCGGCCCTTCCAAATTAATTTGATGTAGGTTAATATTAAATCACTTTGTGATCTCTTGAAATGAGGGAGAGAGCGAGTCCACAATGAGCTGGGTATAAGAAGTGAAATAGAATAGGACTTAACATCTTTTAAAAATAACATTAAAGTAACCTCTAACTGATAATTGATTAGGGAGTGGGACCAACAGGCAAAGCTCACACATGAACTATTTATGAAGTAAGCCACATTGTCAGGAGAAGTTCTGAATAGTGTGAGAACATTCTGAGAGAAAAGCAGGAAAGAGGGTAGGACTTGATGTTTGAACCAACAAATAGATCCATTTATAACACAGACTGACTGGACTGAGCTGTGGAATCAACTTTAATTTCCTAAAAGGTGTTTAGCGTTCTGTTGGGGCTATTATTAATATTTGAATTTATATCCGCAGCGAAAATACCACATCATCAATTTTGCCCATATATATGATTTCCTTATATATTAATTAAAAAACAAAACAAAACACTAGCCTGGCAGGCTTGGCTCAGTGGCTGAGCATCAACCTATGAACCAGGAGGCCACAGTTCAGTTCCCAGTCAGGGCACGTGCCCAGGTTGTGGGCTCAATTCCAGTAGGGGGCATGCAGGCAGCTGCAGATCAGTGATTTTCTTTTATCATTGATGTTCCTAGCTCTCCACCTCTCCCTTCCTCCCTGAAGTCAATAAAAGTATATTTAAAAAAAAATAAAACTATTGCCGATGTAAAGAGTAGCCTTTGCAGATATAGATTCCCCGAGTTCCTCTCACAGTCAGAGCTTCTTTCACCATGGACCTTGCAGACGGGGCTGCTGTGGCCTGGTGGCTCGTACGCCCTGCGTCACCTGCTGGTGTCACCTGCCTGCCCTGAGAACCCAGTGCTGCCCCAGCTGTGCCCAGTCCTTTACTGAAATGCCCCCTTTCTCCCCAACCAGCCCAGACTGGCCCAGGGAGCCATCCCACCTGGCCCCGCCTTGCTCACCTTGGCCAGCTCTGCGAGTGAGTTGGCCTGGTCGTTCAGCTTTCCCTGCTCGATCTTCACACTCCGGAGCCTGGGGACCGGCGGGTGGGCGGGGTTGTGTGGAGGATGCATTGTTGGGGGGATGGGGGAGTCCCTCATGCACTTGCCCACCCAGGGACATGCAGTGGGGAGATGAGGTAGGAGTTGGGGTCAGGCCCCCTGCAGCCCATCCCCCCCCCCCACAGCAGGGCCTGGGCAGCAGCTCAGCCACTGCCCACCGTGACCCCCGTCTGGCCATGTGCATAGGGCCTGCACTGGTCTGCAGGGTGGACACAAGCCCTGGCCGCCTCCAGGAGCTGCCCCCGGGATGCACCCTGACCCATGACCACCATGCACCCCTGACCCGCAGACTTACTTCTGAGCTCTGGCAGGACCCGGGGGAGCAGAGAGAAATCACAGGGCAATTTTAATCTCAGCACCATGGGACAGCTCATGCCCAGTGCTGCCCTCCTCCCACATGCTGACCCTGGGCCCAGGGGCTGATGCCCTTGCTCTGCAGAGGGGCTCAGCTTCTGAGAGGGCAGTGCCGGCCCCTCAGGGGTGTGTCTGTCCTCTGCCCCCTCCCTCGAGCAGTACCCACCCAGCCCTGGCCAGGACAAACTCAGCTGCCCTCGCGCTGCAACTCTGCTGACTGCCAGCCTGTGCCAGGCACCTGGCCCCAGAGGTGACTGTTAATCCAGTAAACTATCCCCATGATGGTTCCTAAGGGGGAAACTGAGGCTCAGAGTGGCAAAGCCAATGGCTGGCAAAACCCCGGCAGGATCTGGTCAGCCTTTCTGCCCTTGGCCTCCACTAGCTGCCGAGGCGTGGGGGATGGCCTGTGTGTTCGCGCCTTCCTCTTCGAGCCTCTGTGGTTAAACTGGGCCGGGGGAGTGGTTCCAGGTAAGACTCTTCATCACTGGCTCAAACTCCGCCCGTGTGCGCCCACATTCGGTGGAGGCGGCGGGGAGGCCCCTCAGGGCCCACCATGCTGAGCCCGCCAGGGTGCCCAGACCCGGCCCTCGGTCTGGAGGACAGAGGCAAATACAGCCGGCCCCAGAAGGCTGCTGAGGAGCTTTGCCGGCCTGCCCCGGGGAGTCATAGGGGTTGGCTGGTGTTCCCCACAAAAGATACATCGAAGTATCCCTAGGAGCTCAGCATGTGGCCTATTTCCCCAGGTTAAGATGAGTCACTGGGGGATTATTATATTATTATTAATCGGTGGCTTCATACAAAAGGGGAAGTCTGCACACAGACACGCACAGATGGAAGACAACACGGAGACGCAGGAAGGACGCCACGTGGAAATGGATCACCGGAGCGATGCATCTACCGGCTAAGGGACGCGGACACTGCCAGCAGCCAGGAGAGACCTGGAACAGATCCTCCCCTGGCACCTTCACGGGAACACGGCCCTGCTGACACCTTGGTTTTGGTCTTCCGGCCTCAGGACAGTGACCATAAATTCTGCTGTTTCACACCACCCACTTACTACCGCAGGCCAGGGAAACACACACACACACACACACACACACACACCCGTCTCCTCTGAGACCACGCAGCCTCCTTGCCTCCCCTCAGCCTGAGGGCCCTCCTTGGTGTGCCAGCCTGCCTCTCAGCTTCCGACTCACATCCCATCCGCCCTCCCGGCTCTCGTTCACACTCGCTCGACTTCATCATCTGTTCTTGCAGGGCTATTGCTTTTGGTGGGGGTGGGGGTGGGGGTGGGGGTGCAAGGGGATCTAAGGTGATTGGAACAGTCCTGCCCCAGACAAATGGTCACAGATAATTCACCGAGCAGGCGCCTTCTCCCCAGCCCTGGCTGTCCTCAATTCTCATACTCCTACCTTCCCCAAAGAACTTTCTGGGACATCCCCCAGGGCAAGATCCACATCTAGTGTCCTCCACACCGGCTGGTGCAGGAAATGCTTGTGGAAATAACAACAATTCCAGTTCCTATATTTAGAAAATGCTGTGCGACTGTCAGGCACAGGTGAGTCATCTGGTCATCCCAGCTGTGTTAGATCAATATCACCCGCGTTACCACCATCTCCTCTTTACAGATAAGATACGTGGAGTAGTGCGTCACCAGCCCAGGCCACCCTGTTAGGTGGAAGGGACCAGACTGGGAACCAGTGGTCCACTAACAACCGTGGAAGAGTCAGCAAGGAGAGTTCCCTGCCCTCAAGGGTCTCAAAGCCTGTGAGGAGGTAGGACTAGCACTGGGCACTGTGGGAGACCAGCTCCTCTCCCTGGTTTTCGGATGGTGGTGGAAGTGGAGGCAGAGAGCAGGGGCCGGGGGTGAGGTGGACGCTATGTGTTGCCAAGAGATGGTTCTGTGCTGGGGCCTATGCCAGGCATTTCTGCAAATCATCTCCTTTAGACCCCCCAAAGTCCAGGGAGTATGGATTATTGTCACTAGAAAGCAGCCCAATTATAATATAACAGCAAACACAATACACGTAAATGGACTAAACTCTCCAGGTAAAAGACAAGGATGGTAAGCAGCACAAGAGAACGTTTGGGGTGATGGATCTGTTCATCATTTGATGATAGTTTCGTGGGTGTGCACATAGGTTAACACTCGTCAAACTGTACACTTTAATAGGTGCAGTTGTCTGTATGTCAGTTATACCCCAATAAAGCTGTTTTTTAAAAAGAGGTAAACATGAGGGAACGGAATTAAGAAATTAAAGCCCAGCTGGTGAGCTTCCGCTCCCCGGCCTGGCCTCTCCCTGAAGCGGCCATTCTCCTTTCCATTCCCCTTTCCCTTCTGGAAGCCCAGGCTCAGGGCCGTCTCAGCCACAGCTCAGGGTTCTCCTCTATCCCGCCTCCCCGTCCTCCTGCTCACACTGGCATTCTCTGTGCTGCCTCTGGTTATGGCTGAGTCGGCTGCCCTCCTGCTGTCCTAGCTCACATCCTAACTCTGCTCAACTCTCTCTCTGACCCCTGAGTCTGGCCTGCGGGCTCCTGGGGCAGGGAGCCCTCGCATCCGCCGGGGAGAACCCACTGGTGAACGGGTTTTCTCACGATGTGAGGCCTGGGAACTCTCTTCAGAGAGGCTCACTCTGAAAAGTGCCCAAGAGCATGTTTCCACTCTCTTACATCTGGTGCCACGTGACTCCACCCCACAGAATCGGGAGCTGTTTAAATTCTAGACAGGGAGCCAAAACTGGTTTGGCTCAGTGGATAGAGCGTCAGCTTGCGAACTGAAAGGTCCCAGGTTCGATTCCGGTCAAGGACATGTACCTTGATTGCGGGCACATCCCTAGTGGGGGGGTGTGCAAGAGGCAACTGATCGATGATTCACTCTCATCAATGTTTCTAACTCTCTATCCCTCTCTCTTCCTCTCTGTAAAAATATCAATAAAACATATTTAATAAATAAATTCTAGATGCTGGCTCATGCATCCTATATAAAATGTGGTTAGTCCAAATAAAAACATTCTGTGAGTGTAAAATATATGATGGACTTTGAAGATTTAGTACAAAAAAACTTTATAAAATATCTCAGTGATTTTAAAAAATTTAATAACATGCTAAAATAATAATAATTTGGATACACTAAATAAATATATTAATTTTATTTTACTTGCTCCCTTTTGCTTTTTTTTTTTTTTTTTTTTTTTTTAATGTGGCTACTAAGCAATGTGACATTGTATATGTAGCTCATAGGATGTTTTGAGTGGACAGTCCCTGGCATTTCATATCTGTGAGCCAAGCCTGGCCAGATGCCCGTTTTGGAAAATTATGCACAGACACACCCGCTCACCTCCACGGCTTTCCCGTGACAGGTGATCTGGGCCATGATGCCTGAAATGTCTACTGTCTGGCTCTTTACCAAAAATGTGCCAACTATGGACTCACCAGCGGACCTTAAGCCTAAGCCCAGACTAACCACAGACTGCAGTGTACCTGGTGTTGGGTGTGGCCGGTAGGATTTTTAGAAGCCAGTTGAGCGACTCCAAAGAGCAGCCAAGGATCAGAACTACTTGAATGAGTAATTCTCAGGACAAAGGGACAAAAGAGGAAACTAAGTAGTATCTCATTATTCCACATGAGCTTATAGATCCGGCCACAAATTCCGAGCTTCCTGCTAGCCAAAGCCAAAGGGGACATTGCTTCAGTGTCTAGGGGTAGAATCCTTTGGGCTATTCCAGGGAATAAAACATGCTCCCTGCCATGTATGCTGGATGGACTGCATGCCTTACCAAAGGAGATGTCCCTTACCAAAGGTGAATAAAACATGCTTCCTGCCATGTATGCTGGATGGACTGCATGCCTTACCAAAGGTGAATGCTGGGCCTTTCAGATCTCTCCCTGGGACCATGCTAACTACCCATCCCACAGAAGATGCTGGCCCCAGCCCCCTGGCCACCTAGCATAGGGGGCCACGCTGAGGCCATGCCAGGCTGGCTGGCCTGGCCCTCGGCCTCTTCCCATGGGGGCGGGGGTGTCACGCTGCCTCCGCCCCGGGCGGACACAGAACCGTGGTGGGAAAGGTGCTGGACTTACTGATGGATGGCTTGGAGGAACTTACGCTGGTGTTTCCGAACCCGGGCGCAGTCTGGCTTCCTCACCAGCCTGGTGTGTTTGTAGATGAGCCACGTCTCCCTGAGAACGTTCGCAGCGGCGTTTTTCACCTGGGCCGGAGAGACATTCCCTGTTCCGCTCGCGGGAAACGGAGGCACAGCGAGGCCAGCCCGCCACGGCCAGCTCATAACCTGCGTGGCTGCCTGGTCCCATCATTCCTGCCTCTCACTGCACGGCCCGCAGCGGGGCGGTGACTGGGCATACGTGGACCCCTGTGGCCTTCTCCACGGCTCTGGGCACACTCCCGGGCGATCTCGTGAATGGCGGAGCCCAGGGCAGTGCTGGCACACACAGGGCAGCGTGGGGACCGGTGGGCACATGGAGGGCAGGAGGGTCTGCCCTTGATGATCAGGAGGCTGGCATAATGGCTGTGATGGGGCTGGCATCCTTACCCGCTTGGTGAGCTGTGTGTCCATCATGAAGTTGTGCACGTGCTTCTCTGCCTTGGTGAGCTCCAGCTTCCGGGCCACCACAGCCACCACGAGCGCCGTGCAGCCAGCCCCCTGAGTGAGGAGGGAGGGAGCACAGTCCATCTAGCAAACACCCTGCTTCCTGCGGGTCCCCGGCCAGAGCAGGACACGCTGCCTCCTCCAGGAAGCCTGCCCTGGGCCACCTCGGACTTCACCCTCCGAGCCTGCAGCGCTGGCACAGAGCTCACTGACTCCCGGCCCGAGTGCTCTCTCCACCCAATGTCCGAGGAGCATGTCTCACAGGGGAGCTCATTTTATCCCAACCACTCCATCCTCATCTCCACTGGGCAGAGGGGGTCCAAGGCGCGGAGATAAGAAAGCGACAAGGAACAGCGACAAGGTCTGCAGGCGAGTTTGGGGCCGATGACCAGGGAAGTGGGAGGATTTAGAATCTGTCGAGGTTTCGGGTCTGGGTATTGGGGACCGAGGCTGGGCTAACAGTTGCTGACAGTGCGAAGGGGAAGGGAAGCGTGGGGAAAGGCCGGCCAGCTGCGCACAGCGGGGCACCTGCAGAGGGGAGAGGAATGCCCAGGTTCCAGCAGGTGGGGGGGGGGGTGCCTCCTCATGGGGTTCCCTGGTGGGTCCACTCTCCTCAGGGTGCCCTTAGCAGCAGCCCAGCCAGGAAAGGAGGTCGCTTGGGGGCTGCTGGGAGGGACTGGGGGCAGGAGTGAGGCGCCAAGGAGGAGGGAAGGGCAGGTAAGGGAGGGGCAGCAAAAAGCAACACAGGAGGAAGAAAGTGGGATTGCGGGGGAGGTTCTGTCACTGAGAAGTGGGGTCCAGGGAGCCTAGGACACTCAGAAGGTTCCATCAGCCTCAAAAGTGGCCAGGAAGTGGGCGGCAGGGCAGGTGATGGAGCCAGAAGTTGGTTCTCGGCCTGTGCTGGAGGCTGTCCCCGGTGCTCCTGCCCGCAGCTGCTGAGTACCGGGTGGGAGGAGGGAGAAAGCCCGGCTAGGGCCCTGAGGGCTGGGGCTGGGGGTGTGGCTGGCACAGTTCACTTTTTCTCAGGGGGGGAAGGAAACACTTATGGGGAGGAGTGGACAAGGTCCAGGGACATTGTCAAACTCTCCTGGTTGGGCCAACACGCCCGGCTTGGTGAGGTGGGCACCAAGGTACCCTCCAAGGAAACCCCGATGAGGGGATGAGGGTTCCTGATCAGGGCAAGGGCGTTGGGAGGACACACGAGGCTGTCCTCAGGAAACCTCTGTGATTGGGGGCAAAGTAGCGGCGGAAACCTGTCCGCGGCACGCTGCCCGGTGAGGAAGGAGAACAGTGAACGCCCTGCACCCTGCACCGCAGCACAGCTGCCGACAGCAGGAGGCAGGCTCAGAGGAAGCCCCGCCACGACAGGAAGTTCAAGAACAGGGAAACGTGTCGAAACCGGTTTGGCTCAGTGGATAGAGCGTCGGCCTGGGGACTGAAAGGTCCTGGGTTCGATTCCGGCCAAGGGCATGTACCTTGTTAGCGGGCACATCCCCAGTAGGGCGTGTGCAGGAGGCAGCTGATCCATGTTTCTCTCTCATGGATGTTTCTAACTCTATCCCTCTCTCTTTCTCTCTGTAAAAAATCAATAAAATATATTAAAAAAAAAAAAAAAAAAAAAAAAAAAAAAAAAAGGCCAGGAACGGTTTGGCTCAATGGATAGAGTGTCGGCTTGGGGACTGAAGGGTCCCGGGTTCGATTCCGGCCAAGGGCATGTACCTTGGTTGCGGGCACATCCCCAGTAGGGCGTGTGCAGGAGGCAGCTGATCCATGTTTCTCTCTCATGGATGTTTCTAACTCTATCTCTCTCCCTTCTTCTCTGTATAAAATCAATAAAAAATATATTTAAAAAAGAAAGAAAGAAAGAACAGGGAAAGGTGTGGTTGGTGGGACAGTGGAAGGGGCTGAGCCTGTGAGCAGTGACCGGGAGGGACGCACTGGGCACAGAGGGAACAGGAGAGAGCCAACAGAGCAGCTAAAGGGACCCAGACATGACCGTGTGTGTGTGTGTGTGTGTGTGTGTGTGTGTGTGTGTGTACACATGTGCTGGGGCGAGGGCTGGGAGTGTGCTGTTGTCTGGACGTGAAACTGGTTTTCTGGAAGGAGCCTCGTCACGGAGAAGAGAACACGGCTTTTCCCTTCCACTGAGGGTTTTCTGGGTTAAAGCTCACTTATGTGTTTCTGTTTATTTAGAAAGTCCATTTGCTGGCAATGGCGGCGGGGAGGGGGGGGGCGCGCGGAGAGGGGGGTTGTGGCTGATCTTTACTTTCCCTTCCTCTGTCACAAAACAACATAAGCATGTGTGCACGATGCCCTTTCCCAGGGGAGGGGCGCTCAGCTCGGCCAGGAGGCGGGATGCGGGGTGGGGGAAGGCCTGGTGGGGAGGCAGGAGGAAGCGGCCCCCAGCAGCGTCCAAGCAAGAGTGAGTGAGAAGGGAAGGCGTAAAGAGCAGCTGGGCTTCAGGCTTAAAGAGACGGTGACCCCTGGGGACAGAAGGGGGCTGTGGGAGCCTCTGTTGGGCGGCCCTTCCTTCTGCAGGAGGAAAGGACGTGGTGGAGGGGGTGGTGCCATGTTTTTGCGAGAACAAACGCTTGTCTGTGTGGTACAGCTTGTGCCGTGACCTCCCTGTCGGGGTGTGTGTGTGTGTGTGTGTGTGTGTGTGTGTGTGGAAGGGCCCGGCCTTACCATGATGCCGGTGAGCAGGCACACGCCCTTCCCGCAGTAGGTGTGTGGCACCATGTCTCCGTAGCCAATGGAGAGGAAGGTGATGGAGATGAGCCACATGGCCCCCAGGAAGTTGCTGGTCACTTCCTGTTTGTCGTGGTACCTGGGGAGAGCAGGGAGGGCTGGTCAGCGGGCACTGTCCCTCCTCCTCCATCACATCCCTGGGGCCGTGTCTAGGATCAGAGAGTGGGCGCTCCAGGGCTCACAGTGATAAAGGCGTGATTGCAGGGGGTGAGGGGTGCTTCCGGGACAGAGCGCACCCAGATCCTCCCCCCAGGCTCCCTGTCACCCTCCTTCCTTCACCCACCCCAAAGCCACTGCTCGGGACACCTGCCTTCCTGGCCCTGGGCACGGAGCAGAGAGGGGGCCAGGTGAGGGTATGTCCACGTGTGTCCACACATGTCCACCGGAACCTCTCCCATAGACAGACAGACAGACAGGCGCGGACACGTGGCCATGGGCACCAGAAGCAGCATGGCGGTGGGGATTCACGTCAGACACCAGGAAGGACTTCCCTAGCCGGCCAGCCCTGAGGGAGGGGTCTGTTGGGGAGATGGGTGTTGAAGAATCAGGCTCCGGGACTTGGGTGAAGAAGGGATATCAATATGTGGAGGGCAGCACCAGTCACCCCATTCCAATGTCTGGGTTGATCTGGGGGTAAGGAGAGAGGGGATGGCATACTTAGCCCTGGGGGGAGCCTGGGGCTAAACTTTTGATGTGTGAGTGTGTGTGTGTGTGTGGGGGGGTGGTGTCTCAGGCCCCAAGGCCTTGCAAAGCACCCTGCTTTGTCCCCATCGCACAGACTATGAACAGGTTCTACCTGAGTCAGCCTGGGCTGGGGGCCGAGCAGCTGGTTCTCTGGGTCTGGGGGCAGCTCAAGGTTCTGCTCTAGGCCAGCCCCCAGCCTGCAAAGCCCCTTCAGCTTGGGGGAGCCCTTTCCAACTAAAGCCTCCTTAGCTGGCCTCAGGCCATCTGAAACCCGCCAGCGGGCGAAGACCTCCTCTGAAAGGGTTCGAGGTCAGAGGCCACAGTGGCACAAAGGAGGGGGGCCCTCACTGTGGGGTGTAAGGGGTGGGGGGAAGGCTGTTTAGGTAGATGGGGCGGGGCCAGGGGTTCAGGTGGGGAGGAGATGGAAGGGAAGCCCAGTGGGAGTGGGAGGGATGGGGGCCGTCACAGCAGGTCTGGTGTTCAGGAGTCTCCGCCCCACTGGGGGGCTCCCGTGATGTTTGCTGGGTGCAGGGGACAGAAACTGACCCCCAATTTTCACTGAAGTACCTGAACCCCAACCTGCCTCAGCCTCCAACTCTGAGGAGACCAGCACCCCCAACTCAGGAGGCAGGAGGGGGGCTCTCTAGCCATGGGTGGGTGCTGCAGAACCCCAGGACCAGGGAGGGGGCATGCGGGAGGTGAGGTAGCGGTGGGACAGAGCCGTGGGGCGGAGGGATGCAGGCAAGGGAGTTTCAAGCAGCGATATGGGCTCAGAATTTAGGATTGGCTGCCCTCCATCCTGCCCCATTCCCCACCCCTACCCGGGGACCTCAGGAATTATCCAGCCTGGACCTCAGGGGCCTGGACCTCAGGGATGCCTGAGGAGGGATACCTCTCTCATTCCCCACACCTTGGTCCTGAGCCTGCCCTGAAAGGTGGGGAATGGGCTGTGGGAACTGACATTGGGGCATATCGGGGGGTCCAAGCCTTGATGACAAGGAGGGGGGGCTTGAAGGGGTGGGGACTGAGGTCCTGGGGGGCAAGTCTAGCCCAGGGCCCCTCCCTCAGGAAGCCCAATCATAGCACCACCTAACACTGACCCCTCCTGAGCCTCCCCGACGAGGCACGAGGCAGGAGAGACCGGCCTGAACAGGGGCGCCTCGGCCCCGAGAGCCCAGCAGAGCCCCTCCCCCCGGGGTCCCCGGGGTTGGCAGACAACCAGAAGCAGGCTCTCAGGAATGTCCCTTTGCCCCTGAGAGCCTCGGTTTCCTCATCTGTAACTTGGGTTGATGGCTGCCTTCGTCCAGGACTGTTGAGAACAAAACCCAAGTAGGGATCCTAAAGGCTGGGCCAGTGTCCTCCACCCCAGACTCCGGATCCCTGGGTCAGCTGCCCAAACAAGATGTTAGAGCTCAGCCCTTTTTCCTCCCCACTCCTTGACAAAGCCCCCGAGGGCCCCAAGTGGGCAGAAGCTGAGAATGGCCTGCCTCCCACGGTCCTGAGCCTAACTCAACCCTACCTGCCCTGGCTCCTGCCAGTCCTGGCCACCCTGCCTCCCTTCCCTAGTCCCTCCCTCTCGGCAGCTAATCTTCAATTCCTCACGGGCAGCATGGTGGCAGCAACTCTGCACACACAGCTTGGCCAAGGCTGGGATTCCCATGTTTCCCCTACAGTCCAGCGGGGCAGGCAGAGGGGAGAAGGAGAGCAAGTTAAACTGGGGGAGAGACAGGCAGCTGGGCGGGCCAGGGGTCAGAGGCCAGCTGCCCGCAGAGCAGAGGGGCATGAGTCCCCCCCGGAGGAAAGTGGGAGGAAGGGGGCTGGGGATGCAGGGGGGTGTGGGTCAGGGGTGGTGGGGGACACAAGGCTGGAGTCCCAGGGTTATGGACAGTCGCTGAGACCAGGAACTGGACAGGGGAGGGTGCGGGAGATCAAGGGAATGAAAGAGATGCTGGAGGAGCCTTGGGTCACTGAAGCCATGGATGGTCTGGGATCATCAGGGTCAGGGTCAGGGTCAGGAGGATGGATGGGGTTGCTAGGGGAGCTCTGGGCACTGAAATAATGGGTGGGGCTCACTGGGATGAGGGGGACAGAAGCGATGGCTGGGGGAGCCGGTCACTGGCGTCATGGGTGGGCCCGGCGCTCCCCGGGGCCAGGGGCTGGGGGGGGGGGGGGGGGAGGCGCACCTCTCGCAGACGCGCACGGTCCAGGCGGCGATGATCCAGGAGGAGATGCTGAAGACGAGCAGCACGGTGCCGGGGCAGATGGTCATGAGCGTCTTCATGACGAAGCGCGTGTTGAAGGTGATCTTGTTGAGGGCGCCGATGCTGCGGGAGGACGCGTCCGTGAAGATCTTGCTGTGCAGCAGCATGACGCGGCCCAGCAGGTAGAGGCGCAGGAACATGGGCACGGACAGCAGCACGTCCACGTCGGCCTCGGCCGCCGCGGGCGCGTAGGTGAAGGCCAGGCGCGCCGTCCAGGTGAAGCGGTAGTGGCCGGGCACCGGGTGGATGGCGCACACGGCCAGCTCCAGCGAGATGAGCAGCACGCGCTCGCACGTCATGGCGATGCGCCAGTCGTCCGCCCCGTTGTCCACCATGAACAGCTGCGGGGGGAGGGCAGGCGGGTGGGAGGCGGGGTCTCAGACACATTCCGGCCCCCAGCTTGCAAGACCCGCGGGGAAACCCCTCCCACCCAGCTTTCACCACAAACACGCCTCCCAGGCTAAACCCCTTCCATCCCAGGGCTGGCCACACTCCAAACTAAACATGGGGGCGGGGGTCCACAAAAGGTTAACCACAGAAGGACCAGGACCCGGCAATCCCAATCCTAAGTGGGGTCCACAAGAGAAATGAAAACAGACGCTGGGACCAATTCCTGTGCACACACAGCCACAGCAGCACTGTTCACACCACCCGAGGTGGGAACACCCAGCATCCATCAGAGGAAGAGGGTGAACAAAATGTGTCTGTTCACACCAGGGAGAGTTTCTCAGCCACGAAGGGGGATAAGGCACTGGCACACCCCACCGTGTGGATGACCCTGGAAACATCAGGCTGAGGGACAGAGGCCAGGCACACAGGCCTCTCCCAGGGACCAGGGCCCACGCTGCCACTGCGTGGGACTGGAAGGTGGAGCATTCGGCCCAGAGGATTCTTCTCGAGCCTTCAGAGCTCATGGAATCTGCCTTGCTGGCGCCGAGACTCGATTGGAACCCATGCCCTTTGCTTCTTTTGGATTCTCCCTCTTGGAAGAGGAATGTCTGTCCGTGGCTGTGCCAGCACTTGTCTGAGTCACTGCTGGGGAAGAAGCTTACCTTAATCTCACCCAGATCTCACTTAGATGATTTAAAAAAAAAAAAAAAAAAAAAAAAATATATATATATATATATATATATATATATATATATATATATATTGTATTAATTTTTCACAGAGAGGAAGGGGGAGGGACAGAGAGCTAGAAACATCGATGAGAGAGAAACATCGATCAACACCCCCTGCTGGGGATGTGCCCGCAACTAAGGTACATGCCCTTCACCGGAATGGAACCTGGGACCCTTCAGTCTGCAGGCCGATGCTCTATCCGCTGAGCCAAACTGGTTAGGGCACTTAGATGATATTTAAATGAGACTTTGGACTTGATGCTGAAATGGCTTAAGACTTTGGGGGATATTGGGACGGAATGAGTGCATTTTGCATGGGAGAAGGACATGAATTTGGGGGATGGGCCAGAGGGTGAATTGTTATGGGCTGAATCTTGTCCCCCTCAAAATTCCTATGTTGAAGCCCTAACTCTCAACGTGACTGTATTTGGAGACAGGGCCTTAAAGAGGTGATTAAGGTTAAATGAGGTCAGGAGGGTGTGTGTCCTTTTAAGAAGAGGAAGAGCCCTGGCTGGGTGGCTCAGTTGGTTGGAGTGTCATCCTATACACTAGGTGGTCCGGGTTCGATCCCCGGTCAGGATGTGTGTGAGAGCAACCTATCAATTTTCTCACATAGATGGTTGTTTTTCTCTCTCTCTCTAAAAATCAAATCTTCATGTAAGAATTAAAATCTAAAAGAAGAAGAGGAAGAGACACTGAAAATACATGCACACAGGGAAGAGGCCCTGTGAGGACACAGTGAGACAGTGGCTGCCTGCAAGCCAAGGAGAGAGGCCTCCCCAGGACCCAGTCCTGCCAGCACTGATCTTGGATTTGCAGCCTCCAGAACTGTGAGAAAATAAGCTTCTGTTTGCTGAAGCCACTCAGCTGTGCAAACCTCCTTCTTTCTTTTTATGGCTGAATACCAAATAAGTGAATAATATATAAATAGAATAATATAATATGTTAATAATACAATGAGCCCTAGACCGTTTGGCTCAGTGGCTAGAGTGTCGGCCTGTGGACTAAAGGATCCAGGTTCGATTCCAGTCAAGGGCATGTACCTCAGCTGCAGGCTTGATTCCTGGCCCTGGTGAGGGCTTGTGAGGGAGGCAACCAATCAATGAGTCTCTCTCACTCTGATGTTCCCTTCTGTCTCTCCCCCTCCCCGGCACTCTCTCTAAAAAAAAAATCAATGGGAAAATATCCTTAGGTGAAGATTAACAACAACAAAATAATAACACAACGAATAGCAATTCCACTGTATGAACAGACCTTCTGGTTTATCCATACACCTGATAACAGACAGGTACCTGACTTCCCACTTTCTGCTGTTGTGAAGAGGGCTGTTATGAACATCTGTGTGCACGTTTTTGCGTGGATGTTTTTGTTTCTCTTGGATCTACACCTAGGAGTGGATTTGCCGGATCATTTGGTAACTAACTCTGTGAGTAACTGTTTGAGGAGCTGCCAGACTGTTGTTCCCAACGGCTGTAGCCTCCGAACGGCTTCCTCTCAGCTCAGTTGTCACTGTCCCCTCCTCTGCTGCCCTCAGCCACACCCAGGGCCCTTCCCATGTGCCAGACCCTGGTGTCTCCATCGACATCTACACATGGTGCAGCCCAGGTAGGATTTCCTCCGCCCATTTCCTGCCAGACTGCCAGGGGTCAGAGGCCAGAGGAGAGGAGCCAGATCTGACATCCTTTGGTGTCCCTGGGACCTGGCACAGGGGATGTCCGCCCTCTGTGGGCACATCTGCCTGACATGCCCTGAGCCGGACTCAAGCCGGGCCTGGTTTTGATTAATCCCCCAAAAAAGAACAAACTCCCTGGCAGGGGATAAATCCTTTAAATGTAGGGTCCAATGGAATACGAAAGGAGCCTGGTGCTCATAACACTGGTTTCCACCATGTAAACCCTCCGAAGACTCCTCATGGGCCCTGTGTGCTAGCTCTCAGCTCATCTCCACTTCCCACCCTGCGCTCCGACCGACCCTTTCTCAAATAGCCAATAAAAAGTAAAACATAGACACTCGTTCTAGGAAACGTCAGAGTTGTCAAAAACGGTGTGCCTTCGCGGAGATCCTTTTCTATAAGGAAGCTATTGGTCCTCATGCTTAGAGGCTGGGGTTCCAGGTTGCTGGTGGGGAGGAAGAGGGGGTACCCCAGCCCAGCTGGGCACTGACCTGGATTTCCCGGGCATGGTAGAGGATAACCAGACCCAGCAGGATGACTGTGGAGAGGCTGATGAGGCATTTGAGTGCAAATGAGTACAGGGACTCCTGGGCAGAGAGAGAGCAAACAGCAGGACGATGCTGAGAGGGGTAGAGGGGGGCGGCCCTCTGACCCTCACACCTGGCACTTCGCTCAGAAAGCGACACTCCTGCCCTTACTCTTTAGCCTGAGCTTAGAGTAAGATGGGTCAGTGCTTCACAGTCTGTAAGGCCAGGCTTCATGTGGGTACGGTACTTCAGAATGTATAATATAAGTCCTGGCCTCCGGCAGGCTCAGTATGCCAGGGTTTATAAGGCTCAGCCTCACACGGACATACACTTCAGAGTTTATAGGGCCTGTTTTCACAGGCACAGCATTTCGCCGTTACAGGCAGACAGCCCTGACCGCTCTGCCCTCACACACCCTCGGGCAGCGCTAAGGGACCACAGCCAGGCTCATATCCAGGCCCCAACTGCTGGGGGGGGGGGGGCGGCGTGGAGCTCTTTCCCTGCTCTCCACCCAGGCCGTGTCTGAGCTCCCCCAGCCCAGGCATATCTGGGGGACATCCCCTATCCCACCGTGAGCCAGGGTATGGCCCTTGGTGCAAACGGGGGAATGGACTCGAGTCTCTGTCCCCCATCTGCAGTCTCCCTCCACCCCAGGAAGTGGGCACAGCAAGAGCCCCAGGAGCCCCCCATCTCCCATCTCCGGGGTCCTCTGAGCCCCCCATCCTCCTCTCCTGGGGGGAAGTGCCCTGATTCCATGCCCGAGGGATGACGGGGAGCCAGGGGTGCCAGGCAGGGCCGCTGTGAGGTGCTGGGTGGGGCTTCCCTGCGGTGCCAGGGGGAAGGGCCATGCCTACCTTAGTGTAGACCCCCCAGGACAGCTCCGTCTCTGTCACCATGACAACGATGCCAAACATGCCAAAGATGAGGGCGTAGTCGCTGAGGCGCTTCCGCTTCTCGAAGAGCACCCGCCGGTGGCCCAGGCGGTGGCCCACGTTGGGGGGCCTCCGGGAGCCCCGCTGCCCCCCCACCTCATCCTCCTCCTCGTCCTCCTCCTCCTCCTGGTCCTGGGAATGCCCGCGGGGGCTGCCGGGTGAGGGCCCGCCAAGCTCATTCTTGGCCACCACGACCTGGAGGCCCGGACTGTGTGGGGGCTGCAGGGGGCAGCTGGCCTCGGCGTCCGGAGGGTCTCGGGTCAGGGCCCCCAGTCCGCCTCCCAGCGGCCGCCCCCCGCAGCCATTGTGACTGTGGTTGTTCATGACTATGTGGGTGCCGGGGTTGGGCTCACGGCAGGCTGCCTGGGGCCCGGCATGGCTCAGCAGCGGGGCTCCCACGCTGACCTGCAGGGGCATGAGGGACACGGTCATACCACCTAAGCAGAGGGCCCGGGACCACGCTCAAACCCTCTAACCCTCTCGTGGCTCCCCAGTGTCGCTGCATAAAAACCAACCCCCCACCGTGGCCAGGAGGCCCTCTGGGGTCCCATTCCCACACCATTTGTCCTCCTCCCTCTCCCCAGAAGCACTCCCTTCCAGAAGCACTGGCCTCCCTCTCACCTATCCCAGCCAGCGTGACCCTACCTCAGGGCCTTTGCATGTGCTGTGCCCTCCGCCTGGAAAACCCTCCATCTGACCTTTGCCCGCTAACTCTCTGGGTCTCCCAGTACATAGACAGTGCCTAGCACACAGCCACTACCCAGTAAGCACTTGTGTGTGCCCTGAGCTTGATTGGCAGGGGTGCCTGGGAGGAGAGGTCATGCAGGTGATTCCAACCTGGGCTAGTCTCCCGCTGACCATCAGGCTCACGGCCGATGTAACCTCACTTCCCTGAGCCTCCAATTCCTCCCCTCAAGTTGGTCCAAAGCCTTCACACACTTACGCAGGTGCAGGCTCTGGCTGGGGACACATCAGGGACTGAGGCTGGGGCTATCTAGAGACCCCCCCCCCCCCCCCGCTCCCTCCTGCCTGGGTGGAGGGAGGTCAGTGATCTCCAGATTCCAGGACTTAACCCTAAGATCCCAGAATGGAATCTGTAGGGCCTGTGGGATATGCTCAGCCTGGCCCAGTGACACCGGGCCAGCCTCAGTTTCTCCACCAGGCCAAAGAGTAGATGGATTGTGCCACATCCTCAGATATTGCCCCAGCATAGGGCAGCACTGTGGGTGTCATGTGCAAGTGCAGGGACTTCCACGATCCTGTCAGCTGGGTCCTGACTCGCCAGACCCACCCCAGCCTACTCTCTAAGCCTTGCAGCCAGCCACCTGCTGTCCCTCCATCAACGTTTCTTAGCCATCTTCACTGCTTATATGGGCTGGTCTCCTGCAGGCCCAGCACGTCACAGTTTATAAGGCTGTTCCCTACCCCGGACATTCCCCACCCCCAACCAATTACATACTGGTCTCTATATTTCACACAAATTTTCTCTTAAAGTTTCTAAATACCCCCAAGAAGAGGGTCCTGGGATTTGGCCAGTTTTATAGATGGGGAAACGGAGGCACTGTGCTGTGATGGGACTATCTCCTTACAGGGGAGATTCTGGACCACGCTGCCTGGTTGACATTCTCCCAACAAGCCTGGCAGCAGTGGGCAGCGTGCCAAGCGTGGTCCCCTTGGAAAAGGCCAAGCCAGCACGCACTGGGGGACTGGGAGAGGGACGGTGTGCACGGACAGGACATCTCCCCGGCCCTGGAACCATGCTCTGGGGGTGACAGGTGCAGAAACTGCCTTGTCAGGACATGCCAAGATAAGCCGTGCTGCTGGGAGGACACGGGCGACCTCTGCCAGAGCCCTTTGCATCCCAGGACCCCTGGGTCCTTGTCCAGTGCCCCCAGAGTGTGTATGCCCCGCTCCCTGTGTGCCCCCAGATGCTGGTACCAGCACTCAGAAGGGCAAGGAACATTCCTGCCATGGCCAGTGACCGCATGAGTCTTAGAACATGTTCTTCCCTCACCCCTACCACCCATCACATCATCTGGGCTGTGGCCACCTGTGGCCTGCCACTTCCCAATGTGTAAGGCCTGGCCTTCCGCAAGCCTGGCATTTCACGGTATGTAAGGCTGACCTTGGTCCTGATCGGTGTGTGTGTGACTCACAAACACTGGGGTGCTACTCTCCTCCTGGGCTGTGGGACATTCCCCCATCACCACCATCAGGGACCTGCCACCCTAAGGGCTTTTGGCTGCTAGAACAGGAAACCCCAGGCATTCCTCTCCCCATCCTTCCAGAAAGTGCAGATCCTTTCTGGGGGTTCTGGGGGCACAGGCAGGAGAGGTGGGAGGCCTGGCAGACAGGACCAGGAGGGGGTGGGGGCCCACAGCCGACCTTCGGAAATGCACCGGTGAAGATGCAATTTGGGGATGTGACTCAGCCACCCAACACACAGGCCAAATCCAGACATTTGTCGGCCACGCTGCTCCCTGCCTGGCAGCTGAGTCCTAAGGTGCCCGGGGGCCGAGTGAGAGTGGGGGCATGGGCTGCCATGCGAGCAGAGGGTGGAGGCACCCCGTCATGTTGACATGCCCCTCGTGCTTACTGTGGGCTGAGCCTTTATCAGAACAATCACATCTAATCTCCATCGCCACTCGGCAAGGCAGGAGGCATCCCTGACCCCTTTTTACAGACAGGAGACAAGGCTCAGAGAGTGTCAGTACCTTGCCCAAGGTCACACAGCCAGGAAGGGCAGGAGCTAAGTCAGTGCCAACTGGGGGAGGGGGATATGGGGTGGCGGTGGGAGGCAAGATCTGCCTGGCTCCCTCTTGATGAGCTGCCTCCTGGAGAGGGAGCCAGCCCGGCCCTATCCTGAGGGCCCCAGAGCGCAGGGCAGAGGCATGATGGGTGCCCATGCCCTCCCGTGACCTCCGAGAAAACAGAACGACGAGGTGGTTTGCCTGAGATCCCACAGGAGGAGCAGTCCTTCTCTGAAGGCTGAGCGGGACCAGAGGGACTGGGGACAAGAGGCCCTCCCCTTCCCAGGTAAACCCCCCCCCCACTGCAACCTGGACCTAAAGCTGGGGTCCCTAGACCCCTCAGGGATTCCCAAAGACCCAAGAGGCCCTCTGAAACCAGGGGCAAGGTTGGGAGATCCATTAAAGGGTGTGTGTTTTTTTAGTGAAGTCTCTCAAGTTCTCCAAGGAGCTCCCTAAATGGTGAGTAACACCCTACGGGCTGCATTCGGTCTTGAGGGGTCCTGGAATGGCCCAAATTGTCAAATGTGCCTAGAGCTTGAGCCCTCCATGCGCTGAGGGCCAGGGTAGGAGGGTGAACAGAGCTCCCTTCCACACCATCCGGGAGACACTGTGGGAACCCGGTGAGCCAAACGGGACCGGGGGCGCTCAGGAAAGCTCTTGAGGGACTGAAGAAGGTGGACAGGCAGCAGGAAGCAGGTGCTCTGCCACTCAAAAGGAAGACAAAAGAAACCCAGCAGACCCCAAAGGCACTCACAGGAACCTCTCACAAAGGACAGGTTGGGTGCAGTAGCTGCCCAGAGGGACCTCCAGCGTCCTGGTCAGGGTGAAGCCACCTCCTCAGCTGCCTCATCAGGAAAGCCGCATCTTGGTGTCCACCCATCAGGGTGGGTGGCCAGGTCTCGTGTGGAAAATCTTAGCACCTGCCACCGTGCTGCTGCTCAGCACCACGCTTTGTCCTTCCCAGGCGGACCAGGAGGAGGTACTCTCCGACCCCTCAGGTCCCACGGCAGAGCCCCCTGTGAGGCACAATGCCCACCACACTGTCTCCAGAAACCACGGCCGGAAGCACATGGCGGAACCTTCTGGGATGTGTGGACAAGTCGAGGGTTGTGTCCCTGTGGAGGGTGGGGACAGGCCCCCACTCCCATCCCAGCACTCGGGGGCCCTAACTCTGAAGGGTGGACAGGACTCGCTCGCCCTCCCTCCCCATGGACTGCCCAGCACCGGTGCAGTGAGGTGCTGGCGGGCTGCCGGGTCCCTCAGGCATTCCCCCATCACCACCATCAGGGACCTGCCAGCAGCCAGCAGGGTGCAATTAGCCTACCCTGCCCTCCCAGGCTGCTCCACCGGCGCCCTCCACGGTGCTCCATCTCCACCAGCTCCTCTCGCTCAGCCCCAACCTCCAGCGCTCACATGTATGGGCCACCCACCCTCCAGGGGAGTGGGCAGTGCCTGTGGGGGTGCTCCAATCTCTGTCCAAAGTGAGCTGGGCTTGCTGACCCCCGCCGTGCTGCCCCTGACTGCTGTGCTGGATCCAGGAACCAGCAGCGAGGTCTCCTGACTCCCACTCCCAAGTCAGTCCCGGGTCACTGCCTCCGCCCTGAGGACACCCCCACCGTATGGATGGAGTTTGGAGACTCACCCCCCAAAGAGAACCCAGCACCCGCCCCATCCGGGATGGGGGTCCGGGACTCGTCACTCAGCCTGGCCGTGCACAGACACACATGCCCTTCCCCGTGTCCCCAGCCCCGAACCGCGTCCCCCGCCCGGACGTGGCTCCCTCCCGCGGCGCCCCTGGCGCCTGCCATCCTACCCCGTACCTGCGGGGCTCGGCTCGGGCGGGCGGTGGAGGCTGGAGGAGACAGCGTCCCGCGCGGACAAGGACCCGCAGGACGGGGCCGGGGCCGGGGCCGGGGCCGGGGTCTCGGCGGGGCCGGGCAGCGGCTGCGGGATGGAGGGCCCGGAGGCGGCGGGGCGGGGGGAGGCGGCGGCGGCGGCGACAGCGGGAGCATCCCCCGCCGCCCGGTGCACCGGCGGGGCCGGGGGGCGGTGAGCGCCCGCCCGGGCCCGGAGAGGAGGGGGCGGTGCGACGCTGGCGGGGCAGCCCATTGGCTAAGCCCGATCGGACCCGCCCCCAGCGACCCCGCAAGCCCCGCCCGCATTTAAAGATCCCTGATTCCCGGTGCTCGGTTTTCCCCTCCCCCCGCCAGCGCTCGGCGGCGGCTCCTCAAACTCGCCCTCTTGCATTGCGCGACAGACAGAGGGGACACTAGCCAAACCACTACACCAGTCGCTGACAGGCCTCAGGAACCCCTAGCCACCCCTTCCCAAAGCCAGGTTCCCCAAACCCCAGCGGCCCCTCAACCGCTGTGCTCCCCGGACAACTTTGCAAAGCGACTGGACACCTGTCCCCACCCCTAAGATGACCTTTTCACACGCAGCTCCTGCATCTCTTCCCCAGGCCCACATCTGTTTTCTTCCTGGCCTCAGCTTTGTACCTGGTCAGGATCGGTTTTGTTTTCCGAGGCCCAGAAAATAGCGGGATGGAATGAATGAATTGAGTAGACCCCGCAG